GATGAGACCGTTGTGCCAAGCAGTGCAATGCAAGGGCAAAGCTATCCCTTTGAAGAATTTTCCTTCATCTGGTTCCTCACCTTCCCCGAGGGTTCAGTGGTGAGGAAGAGGTCGATGGCATAGAGGGCCTTATCTGTGATGCGACCGTTGTGCCCAGCAGTCCCGGAGCAAAGAGATCCCTTGTGAAGCATCCTCATTCATTCGTCTGCTCTGCTCACCTTCCCAGAAGGTTCAGTGGTGAGGAAGAGGTCGATGGCATAGAGGGCCTTGTCTGTGATGCCTGCTCGCTGCTGAGGTGACTTGAGCACCGCTGGACTGGCTGTGCCGGGTGGGGGCGGGGTCAGCACGATCTGAGAGGGGTGGAGGGTGATTGTGGGATTGGACAGAGGGGTTGGAAGAGAAGGGGTTGAGTGGATATGATAGAAAGCGAGAGAGGATAGATTATTAGCTTAGCTGTCTCTGCGAGCCAGCCTCTGTCTGTGTGTGACACCACCTCATGACGAGATGGCAAGTCGGTCGGTCGGTCGGTCCTTTGAGGCGCATCAAAAGAAAACTCCGTGAGTTGGTCTCTGTCTCTGTGCTGTGGGTGCCACATGACAGGTCAGTCAGTCAGGCCATTTCACTCACCTGGTTGCTGGCAGCGGCGGCAGGGGGAGGACGCAGCAGGGCGGCGAAGGGAGCACCCCCTCCTCCGCCCAGGCGCCAGGAGAGGGAGGAGAAGAACGTGGCTGCAGCTATGGCCGCCGCGAGTAGAGGGAGGAGGACGGAGCGAGGGAGTGGAGATGGGAGGCGAGAGGAGAGGCTGGGGGGAGGTGGCGTGGGTGGGGTGGGGATGGATGTTGAAGCAGCAGTGGTGGGTTTGGTGTTAAGTGAGGGAAGTTCTGATGGATGGAGGTTGGATGCTTGCTGCGGATGAGGGGAGGATTTTGGGGGAAGAGAAGGGCGAGGAGGGAGGAAGTGGAAGGAGGGAGATTTGGAGCCATGACAGGGAGCAACAGGAATGGCACGGAATGACAGGGAATGGCATGGAATGACATGAAATGACAGGGAATGGCATGGAATGACATGGAATGACAGGGAATGGCATGGAATGACATGGAATGACAGGGAATGGCATGGAATGACATGGAATGACAGGGAACGGCATGGAATGACATGGAAAGACAGGGAATGGCATGGAATGGCATGGAATGACAGGGAACGGCATGGAATGACATGAAATGAGAGGGAATGGCATGGAATGACATGGAATGACAGGGAACGGCATGGAATGACATGAAATGAGAGGGAATGGCATGGAATGACATGGAATGACAGGGAACGGCATGGAATGATATGGAATGACAGGGAATGGCATGGAATGACATGGAATGACAGGGAACGGCATGGAATGACATGGAATGACAGGGACTGACAGGGAATGGCATGGAATGACATGGTATGACAGGGAATGGCATGGAATCACTGGAAACGGCTGGGAGTGGAAGTAACGGATTGGACAAGGACTGAGATGAACTGTGAGAGAATGACACTGGAATGGACGCAAGCTGAAACGGAGTGGCTTGAACTGACACGGAATGGCTTGAACTGACACGGAATAGCCACGAAATGAGCGCACCTCCTCAGGGCTGTCCGAGGCAGCGCGAGGAGCGACGACGCTCCGCTGGCGACTGCGAGATGCCGAAAAAAACGGAGATGTCAACCTCCTTACTGACGGAGAAGTCCTATTAGTCCATTTTGTGGACAATGCTGGGCCTAACGTGGCGACATTCGCGACATTGTGTGTAAACGGTCGCCGGCGATGGGAGTTCACGGCATCCAGGCCTCGCATTGAGTTTTGCACCGTAACGACAGGCGGCCGCGAGAGAACCGACTCCATGGCGACCCGAACCTCTTATAACCGACTCAATGTAAACAATGGTATAAGATAACAATGTTGTCAGCAGTGTCCGGGATCCACGGAATAATCAATGCGAGTAATAATGATAAATTCAGCGTCCGGAGCAGGAAGCTGCACGTGGTACGGTACAATGCGCTGCCTGGAGGGATCCCTGGTAGACAGAGTAATCGTATGCGGTGCGTTCCTGCAGCGCTTCAAACTACTTGCTGCATCTCGTAGTTACTACGACGCACTTGCACACACACTCTACCTCTCAGCAACTGATGCACGGAGAAATGCAACACTGATGCAGTGATTTTCATGATCGCATCTTACACAGCCAGCCTCGGTATTGCCGTTGCCGACCGAGCCAATCTCAATGGCTGGCCTGTGTATGGAGGACCGCTGTTCAAGGGGAGTGAAAGAGGGAGGGCGCAGCGCAGTGCATCTCAGATCGAGTGCGGTTGGTGGAGATTTGAATGCGTTCGGAGAATTTTCAGTACGGTTGGGAAACATGCTTCTTGCGGCAGAGCGGTTTATTTGGATTCAAAACAGTTGGAGAGGGGTAAATGTCCTTTTTAGACTGATGTGATGGAGGGGGTGATCTGGCAAAACCAGAAAACAGCGGGACAGCCTCAAATAATTCTGTCTCGTTTGCAGCAGATGTCCCTTGAAAATGTTGAAAGAAGCAGGCAATATTTGAACATGAGGGCCCCCAAATGTGAGCCACAGGTCAAAACAGTTAGTCTCATTAATTACGGCTCCTCCACTTCTACTCATGACCTTCTGTGATCAGGCAGGCTAATGTAGGCTGCTCCCGTGTATCCACTGATGATCATACACCACATGATCATGATTCATTATTCATGATTCATGACCACACCACACACCCCTTCCACGCCAAGCAAGCCCATGTGGACTTGGTTGCTCAGCTCCTATCCGAGTACACTGTTTGGTGTCACAATACCCTTCCGTAATCAAGCAAACTATGATAGAAACGAAGCGACTGTCTTCACGGATGTAATTATGAGTAGACACGAGTGGTAGAGGAGAAAGCAGAGGATGAGAGCTCCAACGGTGTCTTCATGGGTAGTAAGATAACAAAAAACATCAGAAAATTCATAACCAAGTGAAAGGCATGGTTAAGGAACGCTTGGGTACACTGAAGGTGGACGAAAACTACAGAATCCGTGCTATTTCACGCGAAAAGGACAGGTGGGGAGAGCGAGAAGTGGGAGGAAAGAGTGAGTAAGAGCGTATTCCTATCCTCGTATCAAGAAAACCTCATATCAAGATTGTACTTTTTGCCTGGTAAAAGTAGCGAGAGGTTTTGGGTTTAGGGAAATTTTCAGTGGGAGGTTGATATGAGGTTTTCTTGATACGAGGATAGGAATACGCTCTAAGTAAAGGGAGGCTGGGAAGGGCAGGATTTGCTGGAAATTGGAGGAAAAACATGACGCAATGAACGACAGGGATGCAAAGGCGAGGTAAGGGTTGGAGAGAGAGGTTTGAGTGGGTTGAAAGGGCTGCTTGGCCGCTGAGAGGATACTGACTAGGAGGACCTCCCACCAATCCAGGATGTACAGGCCAAAGGTCACATTGTACAGGATAATCTTGCTGTTCACCCATGTGACTATTTGCCTCCAAGTCGACCGCTGCTGATGGTGTCGTCTCTGCGCTTGCACAAAAGACAAGGAAAAACAACAAGAAGCATGGCAAGCAACTGCGAACAGGTTGGTTACCTGGAAGCCTAGCCTGCTGGTAAGGAAACAAGCCATATCCACCAATCATGGGATGAGCATAGTGAGCGTACATAGGCCATAAGCAGACATGGGTTCATGTACATCGAACACTGCAATGACGTACCGCGAGAAATTCCGCGTGGGCTTTGAAAGCGTTTCTGTCTTCCTCAGGAATCTCTTCCTCACTTAGCGCACTTGCTAACCGTTCTTTGGATTCCGCTCCCATTTTTCCTAATCTAAGGACACCGATCACGCCGCTAGAAGTAGCTACGCGCTGCGGTCGCACGATACGAACAACCTCGGATCGCAACCGTCAGCAGGCGAACAAACTGCGACGGCCAAAATTCGTCACACGGTGCAGGAAGTCCGTTCTAAGGCAGCGTTTTGGGGATTTTGTTCTAAGAATCGCGCTCTTGCCGCCTCTTCTTAGCATCGTAAGCCGCTTGGCGCCATGAGTATAATCTGCTTCGAGCTCCTCGCTTCAACTCCGCTGAGCAAGACCGTAGCTTGCCCGACTCAGCGAGGTCATTTGCCGGTTCGCTGGTAAGAAAACCTTATAGAGCTTCGAGGAATATTACATTGACCACGGGCGACCTGCTTCAGAAGTACGGTCACTATGACGCGACAAGCCGAGCGTGCGTGGCTGACCGTTTCGAAGCTGCTGCTATGAGATAACTCGAGAGGAGGTAAGAAGGATTCTATACTGACTTGTGTGATGCGAAAGCAGGACAGATGTAATATCAGGGAGGATATTCGCGTCATAAGAGCATCCAATATGCTGCTGTACTTAGCTTCTCCACCCTCACTCAGGTAAAACAAGCCTCTTCAGGCTCGGTCTCAAGTTCGGGATGATCACTGATCAAGTCTGACTAAGCTAGGCTCGGCAATTCCCAACCTGGCTGAGTCTGGTTTCACACTTTTGGTCGCCGTAACGTCACGTACGGTTCAGTACGTTTAGACACGGTAGAGAACGGGCTGCTGAAAGTAATGATCTGAAAACTGGACGGGGGCATCCCGTTTCGGACAAGGCCTTGTACTCGTTATACACTATCCCGATCATGGAACACATTTACCAAATATAATAAATTATCACGTCAAACATTTGTTTTCTCCTGCATTTCATTCAGTCATTCCCTAGGGGGCAAATGTATCGCCGCCAAGCCAACATCTGAAGGCTCGTGTCGCGTAGTCCCGAGGGTAGAACCCTCATTCTCAACAGCCGAAGCCTGAGCGTAACGAGTTAGTGCAAGGAGAGTTAATACCATTTGTCGCTAACTGCGAATCTTGTGTCGCTTGCGTAACGAGCTAGTGCAAGTACCGCGCGAAAGCTCCCCGTTACAGCGCGTGATTCCCGTTTCGTAGACGATCGCGAGAGAGCGATGCACGACGACGCTGACGTAGGCGGCTCCGCAGATGGACAGCCCGACGCAAAGGCCGGCACATTATCCCCGTTTGTTGGCCAAATCATGGTGCGTTACCGGGTTAGTGTAATCTATCCTTAACCTCATTCGGGACTCTTCTGTGCCACCGTTTCGTGAAATCATTTTGCATTTCGTCATGGCCTCTGAATTAGGTTTACCGCCGTATCCTGTGTCCTGGGCTCTCTCGCAGGTGCCTGGGGACGTAGCGGTGGATCTGAAGCAGGTCACGTCGTCCGTGCTCAGAATCGGTCCAGGACTCCGACAGGTGCGCTGGACTCATTGTTTCATGAAGCGCTTAGGAAAACATGGAGTCACCACGCTTTGAAGTATGGTCTCACGCAGGTCCTCTTCCCCGCTGCTTGTTGCTCTTCACTTCGCAGTACTTGAGCGCCTGCTCTCTCTCCCCACCCACGTGCTCCCCACCCACCCTACCCCCTCTACATAACACCCATTTCCTTGTCCTGTCTTTCTGGTGGAGCAGGAGGGCGACATGGTGGTGGGCATGCGAGCAGGGCGGCTGAAGCCCGCGGTTTCCCCGTGCCTCCCACCTTCCCACCCACGCACCCACCCTTCCATCTCCCACATAATACCCCTCCTTGCCCGGGGAGCAGGAGTGCGACATGGTGGTAGGCATGCGAGCGGGGCGGGGCGGCTGAAGCCCGCACCTCCCCCCGAGCCACCCGCCTACCCACTCATCTACCCTTCCATGTCCTACATAATACCCGTCTCTCTTCTGTGTCCTTGCCCGGGGAGCAGGAGGGCGACATGGTGGTGGGCATGCGAGCGGGGCGGCTGAAGCCCGCAGGGAAGAGGAAGCTGTGGGTGGACTGCAGTGTGAAGCGCGTGAGTGGGGGGGTGGGGATGGGGGGGGGCAGTCCAGTGAGTAAGTGGCATGTGCCTGTGATTGGGGCTGCTCGAAACATCAGGGAGCAGGAAGCTGTGGGTGGACTGCAGTGTGAAGCGCGTGAGTGGCACGTGCGTGGGAATGTGTGTCAGCAGAGTCACATTCATTCCGTCTTGATCTTCCTCTTCCTTGTTTGAGTGTCAGCGCCTTGTTGACCCCCCCTTTCCCTCCCCCCTTCCCCTCCTTCACCCCCTTCCTTTCCCCAGCCCCCTCCCCCCTCGCACGCCATAAATGCAATAAATGCCCCATTCTGCCGCCCTTCCCCCTGCGTTTCCCTATGCAATGTCACACTATCCAATGTCTATTCTCACCATCAGTACACGCCTGCAGTGGAGGAGGCAGTTATCGGCATCGTGCTCGATAAACACATGGAGGTTACGCTTGCTCTCCTGTCTGTCACTCTCACTCCTTCATCCCGCATCCCACGCGCACACATGCGTCACACCTGATTCATGCACATGTGCAGAGGCACAAGACAAGTGCGTGCGTGCGCGCCTGCACCCATAAGCATACACACGCACACACACAAATTCCTCCCATTCCCCCTGCTACTCCTTCCTTTGTATTTAGACGTGGACATTAAGGGCCCTGGCCTCGCCATCCTGCCTGCACATCTTCCTGTTTGTCACATGAATTATGCATCTTCCAATGCCCTCTGCCCAACACCTTCCCCCCTGCTCACCTGCACACGTTCCTCTGCTCCTCCCCCCTCTCCTCAGAACCTAGACGTGGACATCAAGGGCCCTGGCCTCACCGTCCTGCCTGCACTCAACAGACGCATTCCTCCCTCCCCGTGTTCCCCCCTCCCACAAAAATGTTCCTCTGTCGGATATTCCCCACCTTCGCCCATGCCACATGCTTCTCGCCCCTTCAGAACCTAGACGTGGACATCAAGGGCCCGGGCCTCGCCATCCTGCCTGCACTCAACACACACACGCACAAAACAATCCCCACCCGTACATGTCCCCTCCTCTCCCACATGCCCTCTCCCACCCCCACCTCCCCCATTCCAGAACCTAGACGTGGACATCAAGGGCCCGGGCCTCGCCATCCTGCCAGCACTCGCGTTTGAAGGCGCCACCAGACGAAATCGTCCAAACCTGCAGGTACGGTTTGGCCCAACCTGCTATTATGGTTCGGCCCGATTGCTGGTTCAGCTAGAGGGTTGAGGGAGTTGGGTTGTATTTTGGAGATGGGAGGGGTATCTCGTCATTGAGAAGGAAGATAGGTGGAGTAATGGTGCATGTGCATGCCTTCACAAGTGTGTGCATGCACGGATGCCTTCACATGTGTGTGCATGCACGGATGCCTTCACAGGTGTGCGCATGTGTGCATGCCTTCACATGTGTGTGCATGTGTGCATGCCTTCACATGTTTGTGCATGTGTGCATGCCTTCACATGTGTGTGCATGTGTGCTTGCCTTCACATGTGTGTGCATATGGGCATGTGCATGCATGTCTTGGCATGTGCATGCATGTCTTGGCATGTGCGTGCATGTCTTGGCATGTACGTGCATACTTGTGCATGTGTGTACACGCAGATAGGGCAGGCAGTGTACACCCGAGTGGTCAAGACCCACAGGGATGCCGACCCTGAGCTCTCATGCGTCGATGGTGAGTGGTGCTCAGTGGTGCTGAGTGGTGTTGGTGGGTGGGACCCCGAGCGTTCATTTGTGGATGGTGAATGGTGGGTGATGGGAGGTGTGAGGTCCTGTAGTGGCCTGCCTTTTCTGCAACTTCAACCTCCTTCCACTCATCCTCTTTTCCTCCTTCCCCCTTTACTCCCCCTCCTCTACCTCTTCCCCGTTGTCTCTCTCTCTCTACCGCCCATCCATCTCTCAGCAAGTGGCAAGGCAGCAGAGTTTGGGCCACTAGTGGGCGGCCACCTCTTTGACTGCTCCACTGCCCTCGCTCGCCTGTGAGCCATTCATGCCACCATGCATCCATGCGTCCATGCATCCATGTATATATGGCTCCATGCATCCAGGCACCTATGCACCCATGCATCCATGCATGCCTCCATGCGTTCATGCCATCCGAACCAAGCACCCATGTCTCCATGCATCCATGCATCATATTCCAGTTGACCCCAGTTGTTCCCATTTGTGTTTGTGGTTTGTTTTGTTCCCAGCCTCTTGGCAACACCAACAGCCCCTGTATCGAAGGCACTTGACGCTGCTGGTTTGGCCTTTGAAATTGCTGTGGGCCTCAATGGAAGAGTATGGGTGAGTTGCGTGGCCTATGGCACTGTCATTGTTGTTGCACTTTTTTTTCGAGGGGTGGTTCGTTCTGATTGCTTCTGTTGTGCTGTGCTGGTGTGCTTTGCAGGTGAAGGGGGACACAATAAAGAACACCATTCTTGTTGCAAATGCAGCTCAAAATTCCGAGTTCCTTTCTGCTGTTCAGCAGAGAGCGATGGTGAAGGAATTGGTCAGGCTGTCTCTATGACCATAACAATGCTTCTATTATTTTTTTGCATTGCTGTAAAATATCTGTGAGATCATATCAAAATTGAGTGTACTAATACACGTATCTCTTTCGGAACCTCGGAAGCTCCGCTCCTGCCACCCACGTCTCAATGATTTTGGAGACCACCAGTCCCTGGGAACTCCACCACGCACAACCCCTTCGAAGCGGTAGCATGCACAAAAACTGCAACGAGGGGGTGACACTTCAGGCTCAAAAGTTCGGTTGAATACGATGCTGAAAGTTACAAAGCGTTTTGCCTGTTTCACCGCATCGAACCATTGCGAACCTGTCTGAGATTCATTACGCCTGGAGCTTTTTGTTATCCGTTGCTTTTTGCTTTACTCCTAGAACCTAGAATACTCAATATGTAGAACCGTCTTCTTGATCTATGTTCACCGTGCAGGGTTCATCCGTTGATCAACGTAGTTGTCAGATCGGACGGCCCTGGCCTCTCGTTAAGGGCCTCAAGCCTCGCTGATGCAAGTTTTATGCTCTGGAGTGTCAGGAATGCGATTTATGGAGGAAAGGTTAAGAAGCTATGCGGAGCAGGAGCAGGAAAGAATCAGGCTTCTGCCTCAGGGATGGAGGATTCGCCGTGAGGTTTGCCAGTTTCATGGATTTTTCTTAAGCTGAATATTGCTCGTGCCGTGGTCTCAAGGCTTTTCGGTTTGTTTCCTAAGGTAATCTCGTGGCAGCAGATCGGTTCAATTTCGGTTCAATTCTGAGGCGTTCCAGTGGTTTACAAGGGGGACCGGAGCAAGAGCGTATCGTAACCGTTTCTACATCGTACGTTACAATAAAAGGGCGTGGCACGAATAATACTGCAAACAGTCATGGCGACAGCAGCAGCGGCTGGATCTGCGTCACCAGCGTCATTACCATCAGCATCATCCGCATCCTCCTCACCTTCACTTTCAACTGCAGCAGCTTCCGCATTGCCATCTACATCCACACTGCCATCCTCGTTACCAGCAGCATCGATGTCCGCTACGGAATCGAACGGTCAAGAGCAATCAGCTCCGGACTCGTGGGAGTCGGACGATCTGGACGAGCGGTTGAAGCAACTGCAGATAGTCAAGCCCGTGACTGTAACGAACGGCGCTACTGGCGAGAACAGCAGCTCCAATCACAGCTTCAATGGCACCGGCGACGAGCAGCAGGAAGCGAGGGAGTGCAATCAGCTGTCGAGCCAGCAACCCGGGCTTCCGACAACGAATCAATCGGCGGGTCAGCCGCAAGTGCTTGACAAGCGCTTGGAGCTCGTCGATAGCTTTCTCAGGGAGGCTCTCGCGAACCCTCGCGACCGACTCACGAGTACGTTCGCCGTGACATTTGGCCCTTTTTTATTTAAAACCTTGTTGCCTTTTAGTTATATGCGTCTGCACTTTTTGTTCTCTTATCAAACATTCGTTCGCGTTCATCATTAATGCTCTCGGCGGATACGGTGCTCTGCATGGAGCGACGTGAAACGGTTCATCCGCAACCCCAGCGTCAATGTCTGTTTTCAAAGCGCTAGAAAATATTTTTCCTCTTCCTCTACCTCGCGTCTTTCCCCCGTTCCCCTTCCCCTCCCCGCCCCCCCTCTCCCCCTACCCCTCTAATTTCCCCGGCACCAGTTCTCCGCATGGAGCAGGACGTGGAGCGGTTCATCCGGAATCCCAGCCTCAAGGTCCGCTTTGAGGCACCTCAAGTTTCCGTTTCGTCCCCCCTTCAACCTCCCCCCCCCACTCTCCCCTCCCCAATTCCCGCGCGCCAGTTCTCCGCATGGAGCAGGACGTGGAGCGGTTTATCCGGAACCCGAGCCTTCAGGTCATGGAGTTCCAGCCAATGGCGTCGTCTTACCATCGCGCCGCCGCGCACCGCGTCGCGCAGCATTACTCGCTACAGACGTCCGCCGCAGATTCCGTCACGCCAAGCGGTGGCGAGTGCACTGTCGTCATCGCGCGAAAGATTGGCGAGCTTCGCCCGCCGCCCGTCCGCCTCGTCGATCTCCCTCTCGGCCCGACCAGCGGCAGCGGTAGCGGCGGCGCTGCCGGCGCCGGCGCCGTGAACGGCGTCGGGGCGGGCGCGGAAGCTGCGCCTGGCCCTGGGGGGTTTAAGCTGGCAATAAGGCGGAGGCCGAGCGGGGGAAGAGGAGGGGCTGCGGGGGATGGAGAAGGGGGAATGGGCGGAAGTTCCGCGGACGGGGCGGATGGCGCGGGAGTGATCCGATCCGTGGAGGAGCGGAAGGAGATGTATAACCGGGCGCGAGCAAGAATTTTCAACACTGCCCAAGTGGATGCTGTGGACAGCGAAGAGAGCACGGGCAGCGCGGAAGGGGCAGGCGGAAAGGGCGAAGTGGGGGGGAAGCAGGAGGAGGGGAAGGCAGGGGGGAAGGCAGGTGCGGAGGCAGGCGGAAAGACAGGGGCGAAGGCAGGCGCGGAGGCAGGGGGGAAGGGAAGCGGGAAGGGAAAAGGCAGTGGCGGGGGAAGTGGCGGGGAGGAAAAGGTTGGCGCGGATAAGCAAGGGCTAACCAAGAGCTCGTCAGGCGGGCGAAAAGCGAGGAACGTGGCGATTCTGCGAGACAGGGAGAAGGAGAAGCAGGACCCGGACTACCAGCGCGGTTATGACCGGTTCTCACAGAGGTTCGACCCTGGCTTTGGTGCCCAGGCGCCTAATCCGTATAACATGCAGCCCATATACGCCCCTGTCGTTACCTATGCCTCTGAGTTCCCCTCGCTCTCGCCCTCTGCGCCCGCGAATGCTGCTGCTGCTGCTGGCAACCGAACTGGACGTGGAGGCCCGGGTGGGGCAGGACCTGCCAGGCCTGTAGGTCCGGCACCAGGTCCGGCTCCAAACGCGTCCGTCCACGGCCCGGGGCAATCTCCAGGCTCGGTAGGCGCTGGTTCGGCAGGGTTGATCCAGCCAGGATTTCCAGGGGCGGGGTTTCCACCGGGCAGTTTCCCCCCGGGCAATCTACCCCCAGGCAGTATGCCCCCGGGTGGTTTACCCATGCATTTCCAGCAAATTCCTACACTTGGCCCCCCTCATCCGCTGAACGTGTGGAGAGCACATGCTGCTGTGGGAATGATGGCCATGCATGGCCGGGGAGTCATGCCAATGCCCGGACCTGTTCCCGGATCTGTTTCTGGGGCTCTTCCAGGAGCTGTTCCCGGATCTGCCCCTGGTCCGGTTCCATACGGACTGGTCCAACCTCCCAGTTCGATGCCAGGTTCGGTAGGTTCTCCTGGAGGGGTAGGCATGGGAATGACTGGTTCGGCAGCAACAGCAGCGGGAACTGGAGCAGGAAGGGGGGTAGGCCCTGGCTTTCCACCAAACCTACAGAGGGATGGCATCATGGGTCCAGGAGCAATTTCCGTTCCCAGTGTTGGTGGTTCGGTGAGACCAGGTCCGGGAACAGGTTCGGGCCCAGCCTTTTCGCCAGGCATGGTGCCAGGCCCAAGCCCAGGCATGGTTGTGAACCGAGGTGTGGTTGTGCCGGGAAATATGGGGTATGGGTATGGAGGAGGGAACATGGTACGGCCAGCAGGTTCGGTAGCAGGGCCGGGATTTGGCATGGGGCAAATGGGGGGGCCGGTTGGGGGTGGGGGGATGCCATATGCAGTGGGGGGTGTGGGGGTAAACGGGGGAGGGATGGGAGTAGCTGTGAAGGAAATGAGTGGAGTACAAGCAGGTGCGGGTGGTGGTAATGCTGCTGGGAGTGGTGGGGGTGGTGGGGGGGGTGTGCTTGGAGGGGGGCGACGAGAGGTGGTTGGGCCTGGTGTTCAACCGCCCCCGATCAATTCTCCCTACATGCAACAACATCAACAGCAGTATCAGCAGCAGCAGCAGTTTCAGCAGCAGCAGCAGCAACAGCAACAGCAGCAGCAGCAGCAGCAGCAGCAGTTTCAGCAGCAGCAACAGCAGCAGCAGCAGCAGCAGCAGTTTATGCACCAGCAACAAATGCATCAGCAGCAGCTGCACCAACAGCAATTGCACCAACAGCACCAGTGGAGGCAACAGCAGCAGCAGCAGCAGCAGCAGCAGCAGCAGCGCTAATGTCATTCTCAAGCAGATGCCAACTGGAGTAGTACTTCGTCTTCAGGGGTCAGGCTTTGTTTAAGAATATTCTCGTCTAAACCCTGCCTCTAAGACTTTCTCCTTGCTGAACTGCACTGCCATCTGATTTCTTTTAAAGCTTTCTGTAGCTAGTTCGGGTTGTAATTTTTATGAGGTTGGCGTCACGTTCTGAACTTAATTTTACATGAGTGTTTTCCCCTTTTGACTCGACATCGTGCGAAAATGTGAGGACGTGGCACCTGCTGGCACAATGCTGGAAACAATAGCGAATAGCAGGCAGGAGCGGCCGATGTACAGCATAGCAAGCGACCGTTCCACGTCGACATCGTTTGAATGTTCGCGAATTTCGACAGGCCCAAATAGCTCACCCTCTTTTTCGCACTCCATAGACTGGCTTTCACACAGTGGACATTCACGAGTTCCACGATCATTATCTCCCTTGTAACCGTGTTCGCATTCATCCCTCAACTATCCAGCAGGACGGAATCGTGGTACCTGGCCAACACTGTTCACTGTCACGAGCATTGTGACGTTAAAGCGGTGAATTACGATATTGTACGTTCGGAAGCGGTTCTAATTAATCACGACCTTGAACCGCTATGCACCTACCTGAACCTGATTCGTACGGAAACTGCGAACGAACTAACTTTTGTAGCCCCTGTCATCCTCCCGCCGAGACGCGGGCTATTACATAACTTCGCCCTCTGTCAGTCTTTATTTCCACAGCCTTTAGTTTTCTCACTTTTTAATCGAGTACGACGCCCTCACAAACAGCATTGTACATACGAGAGACAGCGGCATTGGGTTCAGTTACGAAGTGCAATTTGGGGGCACTGTGCCTCGTCACCAGCCAAAGGGTTCTCCAGTCAACCAATCACGCTTCTAGGGAGTCAGCCTGCCGGGAATTTCTATGTTGTGAGGGATAGTATAGAGATTTTGTTAAGGGTTTTTTTTTAGCATCCTAATCTCTTGGGGAATCGCACTCTCCGCGTCGCGAGGATGTACGGCGGGGGCAGCGAGATTCCCGCAAATATCCTCTTCGGCCACGTGGGAAGCGACGAGGATTTCGCGGGACCGCCCATTCCCACCGGCACCGCCCCCGCGAATGGCGTCGCAACAGACGCCGCGAGTTACGGAGGCGTACCGAAGCGGCAAGAAGTGCTGCTGCCGGAGCAAGCGGCGCTGATTCGCGAGTCGTACGCGCGCATCGAGAAGGACAGGAAGCAGCACGCGCTCATCATGTACGTCACGTGAGTGCACCGCATTGACTTGTGTTGACTCCCGTTGACTCACATTTATTCTCACGCGCGCATCGAGAAGGACCGGCAGCAGCACGCGCTCGTCATGTACCTCACGTGAGTGCATCACATTGACCTGACTCACTTTGACTCACTTTGACTCCCGTTGACTCGTGTTGACTCACAATGGCCGTCTCGTTCTAACTGGATGAACTCCTGACCATCTCCCTCCGCCCTTCCTTCCCCTTCGTTGGCCCAATGGCTAACCGCCATGTCAGCATATTCGACATCTGTCCCGAGGCGAAGCCCCTATTCTCCATGGTGCGCGAGTCGACCGAGCCCTCGCCCGTCAACCCGCGCCTCGAGGCGCACGCCACGCTCGCATTCACCATGGTGGGTGGGAATGGGAGGGTGGGGAAGGAAGGTCGGGGTGGGGGGGGATGGGAATGGGACGGTGGGGCTAAGGTGGGCGTCAACCCGCGCCTCAAGGCCCACGCCACGCTCGCATTCACCATGGTGGGTGGGAATGGGAGGGTGGGGAAGGAAGGTCGGGGTGGGGGGGGATGGGAATGGGACGGTGGGGCTAAGGTGGGCGTCAACCCGCGCCTCAAGGCCCACGCCACGCTCGCATTCACCATGGTGGGTGGGGCGGATGGGATGATAGGGCGGATGGGGTGGTGGGTGGGAGGGACGGGGAATGTTGGTAGTGGTTGTGTGAATGGTGCTCAAGGCTCATGGATGACTGTAAGCCGGGAATCGGCTTGAGACGTGCGCCCGTCAACCCGCGCCTCGAGGCGCACACCACGCTCGCGTTCACCATGGTGAGACGGATGGGATGGTTGGGAAGGAAGATCGGATCGAGGTGGTGGGGGGTGGGAATGAGACGATGGGCGAAGAATGTTGGTAGTTCCTCAACCAAGAGGCCTCAATCACATGGGACCGCAGGGAAAGGAGAAGAGGGGGGAGTGGGCAAGGCAGCTTTGAGCCTTCACCCATAATCCAATATCCCTATGTCCATGCACACTCCCCCCCCCCCATTCTCAGATGTGCGAGGCCTTCAGCAACTGGGACGACCCAGAGCGAGTGGCCAAGCAAACACCCTTCTTCAGGGCGCTGGGTGGGAGACACCTCAATTACGGCATTGATGGGGACGACTTCCCGGTGCGTGGGTGACTGGTGTTGCATGAAGAGGGGAGAATCGAGAGAAGGACGGGAGGGTAGGAGCACACAAGGCAACGCCTTTCTTCAAGGCGCTGGGAGGCAGGCACCTCAACTACGGCATTGATGGGGACGAATTTCTTGTGAGTGAGTGCGACTGGTTGTGAATGGGTGTGAGTGAGTATGAGTGGGTGTGATTGGGTGTGAGTGGTTGTGAGTGCGGAAGTCCGTTGGCTGAATCACACAGGCAGCGCCCTTTCTTCAAGGCTTTGGGAGGCAGGCACCTCAACTATGGCATTGATGGGGACGACTTCCCGGTGAGTTGGTGTGGGTGGTGGATGTTGGAGGGGGGTGTGGGGAGGGTAGGAGCACACAAACAAGCGCCCTTAATCAAGGCGCTGGGAGGCAGGCAGCTCAACTACGGCATCGATGGGGACAACTTTCCAGGAGTTGAGATGTCAATGTTGCAAGTGGGGAGATGAGGGAGAAGGAGATGGGGTTAGCAGCACACAGGGCTATACCTTTCTCTGAGCCATTGGGTGGCCGACACCTGAACCACAAAGGCATCAATAGGATTTGGCTTCAAGTGAGGAAGTGTTGTTTTGAGACGTCTCAACACAACACTTTTATCATGGGTTTAGCAACACACAGGGCAACACCTCTCTCTAAGCCGTTGGGCGGCCGACACCTCTTTGAACCACGATGGCATCAAGTTCAAGTTGAGAGGATTTTACTTCAAGTTCAACCCCTCTCCCTCTTCCAATCTCCCCCCCACCATGCAGATTTTCCGCACTGGCTTTATGAAGGCGCTACAGAGAGCTTTCGGGGAGGAGTGGTTCGGAGACTTGGAGGCAGCATGGTGTGCCGCGTTTGACATTCTAGTGGACATGGCTTCGAGTGGCATGGCTGAGAAGGGCGGACAGAAAGTCATCCCGCCTGCTGCTCTCGAGATGCTAGAGCGGATGCAGCAGCAGTAGCTGTAGCAGCTGTAGCACCTGTAGCAGAAAGTCATCCCGCCTGCTGCTCTCGAGATGCTGGAGAGGATGCAGCAGCAGTAGCAGTAGCAGCGCCATAATATCAGCAAGGGGGGCTGGAGGGCATGTGGTGCAGTGCGGTGCGGTGTGGTGTGGTACGGTGTGGTGCGCAGCGTTTGACATGCAGGAGGGCATGGCTTCAAGCGGCATGGCTGGGCTGAGAAGGGCGGGGAGAAGGTGGTCCCGAGACGCTAGAGCGGATGCAGCAGCAGTAGCAGTAGCTGTAGCTGTACCAATGGAAGGGAACCCAAGAGAACTCAATCTCCCGAATCAATGACCCCCCATGCAGAAGTCCCAGGTCCTCAGGCTGAAACAGTGTCATTTGTATGCCAAGAGGGTTGAATGAACGTTTTTTAGTATGTATCAGGGTCTGGATAAAGTGCAGTCACATAGGGACTTCCAAGTGAGGCTCACAGTCACCTTGCCACGTGTGCATGCAAGAACTATGCAAAACATATCCTATCCTAAGAAATAGTCACCTAAGAACGGCTACCCATTCCACTGCTCTATAATTTGGTACGTGTCAGTACCAGATAAAAACCGCTTACAGTAGTTTTCTGTGGCTCCTCGAAGCTGACTAATCCAACTTGTTGACTTTTGAGTCGACTCAAAAACTGCTTACGGTAGCTTCTATGGCTCCTCGAAGCCAATCCAACTTGGCACTACGTGCCAGCTCCCCTTCACCTTTCCCCTTCTCCTTCCTCCACTCCCCATCCCTCCTGTTTGTGAGTCGACTCAAAAATAAGCTCCCCTTCACCTTTCCCCTTCTCCTTCCTCCACTCCCCATCCCTCCTTACCGGGTCCCTCCTGCGTGTCCTGTGAACCGGGCTGGCTGGCAGTACCCACCACCAGCATGTAGATAGACGACCCAATGCTCGTCACACAGATGATGGCCGTTTTCCCTTCCCCTCCCCCATTCTCCTTCTTCCACTCCCCGTCCCCCCTCCCTGTCTACCCTTGGTTGTTCTGCGAGCCGGGCTGGCTGGCAATACCCACCACCAGCATGTAGATGGACGACCCAATGCTCGTCACACAGATGATAGCCGCCCACACGATCATGGCCCATGACGTCTTGCGCTCCCACCCATGCACCACTCCCGACCGGTCCCTGGCAGCACGAGGGTAGAGGAGACACGGGAAGAAAAGAATACGGGTGGATCAGGAGTGCAGCACACATTGATGGACGAACCAATGCTGGTCACACAGATAATGGCGGCCCACACGATCATGGCCCATGAGGTCTTGCGCTCCCACCCGTGCACCACTCCCGACCGATCCCTGTTGGCGAGTGATTGAGCAAGACGGGAGAGGAGAGGTGAGTTGAGAGGTGAGGGAAGAGGTGAGGGAAGAGGTGAGGGAAGAGGTGAGGGAAGAGGTGAGCGAAGAGGTGACCAGAGACCAGGGACCAGAGACCAGAGACCAGAGAGTTCTCCGCATTGAAGCAAAACGAGTCGTCTGTGTTCAGTTTGGGGCGGTCAGGAGGTGAACTGGAACGTAGCTGAGCGCAATGACGGCGGGGAAGACCATTCCAATGATCATCGTAGACGTTGCTCCAGTCAATTCGAACGCGACCCAGATGTTGGGCACGAGCGTGCCGATGATACAGATCCCCACCAGCTGCACGCCCGTGACAATTTTTGAGGCGCCTCAAAAATCGCCCGTGACAATCCAGAACCTCCTATCACAGTGAGGGCACAGCCCTACTGGGCCCACTCACCTGAGAGCAATGACGGCGGGGAACACCATGCCGATGATCATGGTAGACGTGGCCCCGGTCAAGTCAAACGCGACCCAGATGTTGGGCACAAGCGTGCTGATGATACAGATCCCCACCAGCTGCACTCCAGTGATAATCCAGAACCTCCTATCATCCTCCGCGAGCGATTTCTCTGCGTTGTAACAAAACAGGTCATCCGTGACGTTCCTCAGCGAGTAGTAGATGACCGGGAACACGAGCACCACGTGCAGCGCGTACGAGATGCGGACGACGTCATTCAGCCACTGCTGGCCGGTGAGGATGGGCGTGGAGAAGTTTGCGAGGACGTCCGGGGCGGTGGCGTCGCCGAAGAGCAGGTAGCCGCAGAGCGAGGTGAGCGTGTAGATGGCGAAGCAGGTCGCCATGGAGAAACGGGTTACCGCTGTCATGTTCTGCTCGGTCCTGTCTTTCAACTCCACGTAGATCGGGTGGACTGGGGGAGGGAGGAGGAGGGGGGGGGACAGAAAGTGCATGGGGAGAGGTAGCAGGGGCAGAAGGAGGGGGCAAAGGGAGCAGGGGCAGAGGGAGGGGGCAGAAGGAGAGGAGAGAAGTTTGCAAGGACGTCCGGGGCGGTGGCGTCGCCGAAGAGCAGGTAGCCGCAGAGCGAGGTGAGCGTGTAGATGGCGAAGCAGGTCGCCATGGAGAAGCGGGTGACTGCCGTCATGTTCTGCTCCGTTCTGTCCTTCAACTCCACGTAGATGGGGTGGACTGGTGTGGGGAGGAAGGGGCAGATAAGACAGGGGTAGAGGGAGCAGGGGCAGGGGGAGGGAGCAGAGGGAGGGAGCAGAGGGTGGTGCGGAGGGAGGGGGCAGAGGGTGGTGCGGAGGGAGGGGGCAGAGGGAAGGAGGAAGGGAGGGAGGAGGGCGCAGAGCGAGGTGAGCGTGTAGATGGCGAAGCAGGTGGCCATGGAGAAGCGCGTCACTGCCGTCATGTTCTGCTCGGTTCTGTCCTTCAACTCCACGTAGATGGGGTGGACTGGTGTGGGGAGGGGGAAGAATTGGAGGAGGGGGTGGCGGGGGGGTTGGGGTGGGGTGGGGTGGGGTTTGCAGGGGGACAGAAGGAGCAGTGGTAAAGGATCAGGGGCGGAGGGAGGGGCAGGCAGAGGAAGGGGCAGTGGAAGGGGGAGAGGGAGGGTGGCACCTGGTGAGAGTGGCACCTGGTGTGGGTGGCACCTGGTGTGGGTGGCACCTGGTGAGGGTGGCACCTGGTGAGGGTGGCACCTGACAGGAAAGGCACTCACTGTTGAAGTGACAGATGTAAGCAGTGGCCATGACCCGAACACATTCAGTCAGGCACGATCAGGGAGGCTGTTACCTGGTGAAGGTGGTATCTGGTATAGGTGGTACCTGCTAATGGCGGTACTCACTGTTGAAGTGGCAGATGTAAGCAGTGGCCATGACCTGAACACATTCAAACAGGCACAACACAGATAGGATAAAGGAGAGGAGGGCGGTGGTGAGAGGTGTTCATAGCAGACGCGGACAGATTGAGGTGAAATTCTGACTATTTAAGAGTCGTTTCAAGCAGAGAAGAAGGCGATGGTGAGGGGGTCGCAGCGGCAATGGATGGAGAAAACAGGTAGATTTGGGCGGCGCAGAGAGAGGCACGGGGGGAGGCAGGAAGGGAAAGGAGGGAGGAAGGAGTGGGGAGGAAGGGGATGGAAGGGAAGGGGAGGGGAGGGAAGGGGAGGGAAGGGAAGGAAGAAGAGGGGGGAAAAGGGCAGAGAAGGGAAGGGAAAGAAGGAGAAAGGCTGGGGAAAAAAAGGCTGGGAAGGGAATTAGAGGGAAGAGCAGGAGAGGGAAGGGCAGGGGAGCGTACCGGGAAGACGGAGCAGAGAGCAGCGAAAAAATTAGGCGCGTTAACGAAGGGTAACCAGCGAGGCGAAGGGAGAGTGCCCTCGACCAGCTTGATGATGGTGATAATGAGAGTGATCACAACGAAGACGACCGCTAGAATAACGGCGATTGCTGACGTGTAATGCAGTGAATCTGACAGCGAGGAGAACGGGGAAGAGGGACGGCGGAAAGGAGAGGAGCCTTTGGCGAAGCTGATGTGGTGGTGAATGCGACGTGGCGAATGCGATGTGGCGAATGTGATGTGGCGAATGTGATGTGGCAAATGTGATGTGGCAAATGTGATGTGGCAAATGTGATGTGGCAAATGTGATGTGGAATGTGACGCGGCGCATGTGATGTGACGGTGTGTCGAATGCGACATGTTGATTGTGATGTGGTGGGTGTCGTGAGGTATATTTGATATGCGACGTTTCATGTCGTAAATATGGCACTACTATGGCAAATATTGTGTGGTGCACGGGCGAGGATCCTATCCGTCATCCTTGCCTAGACCTAGCAAATCCATACCGTGCAACTCCACGCCGTGAGAATCGTATCTTGATTCTGTTCCTTCCACGCGACTCACCGACGTGACGGAAGGACGCCAGCGGGATGAGCACAACGAGCGTGACAATAACGAGTACAAAGAACCGCGTGTTCCACCACGCGGCCTCCCCGCCGTTCCACTCTTTCAGCAGGCCCGGATGCGCCGAACCAATGCTGGACCACGTCCCCGCTAGCACGTCCGCGATAATAATCAAATACACGACGCACAACCCAAAGTTGTTAATGAGGACGGATATATCGAGTACGAGCCTCCACTTGGGCCCGCATTCCTGCAGCACCAGATCGCCGTACGACCACACCTGCTGCACCGTCGTCGTTTTGATCAGTAATTCCAGGGATACTTGCGTTAATATCCCCATCGCGACGAGCGCGATTATCCCGAGGGGGATCCCCAACACGCGCATCGTTCCGGGGAGACCCATGATTCCCGCGCCGACCACAGTGGTCACGAGATTAAAGACGGCGGAGGAGAACGAGGCGCCTTTGAAGCCGTGGCGGCCTGCGCCCATGTCGAGGAAGCGGTCCTGGCTGTGCTGCAGCGGGTGCGGGGAGGCGGAACCGGCGGAGCTGGTGGAATCTGTGGCGCGGAGGGAGTCCTTTCCGCCGTCCGCGGACAGGGATGAGCCATAGTCGGAGAATGCTGGGCCCTGGACAAGCTCTATGGCCGACATTGTAACGAGCGTGCGACGACTGACGTGCGACGACAATCCTTGTGCGACGCAGACGTGCAACTTCTTGTTATTGAACAGGATAAAAAACAGGACTACTTCTATTACCCTTGCACT